CTCTCCCTCCCTCCCACTCTCTCTCTCTCTCTCTCTCCCTCTCTCAATGTAATATCTCTAAAAATACACGCAGGCCCTCAGTGTGCAATAACATAATTTGCTATTCTCCTTGGCTTGTTTTTAAAATTAACATCCAATAACTTTTGACTGATTCGCCTCAATAACTCCTTTCGTTTCCTGGTGTTGTCTTATCAACTTAAACACAGATACCCCCGCCCTTACTCCTTCTATGGACCCGCCTCTGCCGTGGCTGCCAAACCTGTTTTCATGTATCATTTTCTCTGTTCAAGAAGAAAATATGGCTTTCAAAATGATATTACGTCTCATAGAATAGAATTTTCTATATTGATTCACCGTGCAACCCACGGGAGTCTTTTCACTTTTGCGCTGGAGTAAGGCAGCTAGATCTACACACCCTCCTTAAAAACGAAGTTACCGAATGTGATATTTAGACAGAGAAAAAACAAGTAGTTTAAAATGTGCACACTTTGTGAATTATCGGAACTTAAATAACCAATATTACTGTCGACGAAAATGAGAAAATATATTCCAAGAACGTAACTAGCAATTTATTACTGTTTCATCGTGTTCGCAAGCTTCGGCAAAAATGGCTGCCGAAACTATAAAGTGGAACAAAACACCAATCATGGTTAACGACAAAGTGTCATGGGTAAGATAGTGTCTTTTCTTTCTGTACATAAAACATACCAAACACTTTTTGAAGTTATAAGCTTTTGTTGGGTTTTTGTTGTTTATTGTTGTTTTGTTGTTGTTGTTTTTTGTTTGTTTTTGTGGATTGTTTATCTGCTCAAAAGAGTTCTTTTTTAGTTTTAGTTCAGTAGAAAGAAATCGATAATATAATTGGTACCCATTTACCAATGAAGAACTACACCTTTCCTTTGTTGTGAATAAAAATGAGCAAAATGATTGCGGGAGTTTTCAAATAAAACAGGCATGTAAAAATAATACTATTATTGAGAAATCCGGAGACATCGATGTCTCGACCTAAGCGACACTTTCTATGGCGTCAACTTTTTCTTCTCTTATTTGCATAGATCCAGTGCAAGGGGGAATAATAATGATTAATGCACTAGTGGCCGTAACAGAAGATACTCAGATTGCATTGTAAAATGTTACATTTCCATGCCGAAATAAGTGTATTGGCTGCTAGTGATGACGGTTACACCTTTGGGGGCGGACGGGTTGAATAGGGTTTGCGTCTGTATGTATATAGGAGTTTGTTTGTTTGTCTGTTTGTGTGTGTGAGTTTGTGTGTGTGTGCTTGTGTGTGTGTGTGTGTGAGTGTG